CTCCTGGCAGAGTCCCTAAACAATAGTTACCCAAAGGCTTATTTGCAAGGACAGACACCTGCAGATCTGAGACTGCAAGTGAGGAGAAAATGGCCCTAGGCTGCGGGAGAGGAAACGTTTGCCACCTCGAATCATCTGTAGGATCCAGCTGTCCAAAAGATGGGTCAGGAATCCCTTGTCTCTTTTCCTCCCTGTGCCACAGTGGCTGTCCACGCTCAGCTCAGCACCTTCTCAGATGATCCCCATCAGCTTCAGCTGCATCCGTCTTTCAGCAGTTTCCATATTTCTTTTTTTCTTTCTTTCTTTTTTTTTTTTTAAGCAGTTTCCGTATTTCTAATTCCCTCTCTCCCTGTCCAGGCCAGCTGAAGCCCTTATACAAGCACTTTGCTGCCTCCTTGTGGCTCCTGCAGTAAAGCAATTCTGTTCCAGAAAGTGAGGCCACAGGGGCCTACATAGGGACTCCTAGATTCTGAGTCTTCTGATCCCATGGCATCTCTGAATTTTTTTTTTTTTTTTTGAGAGATTTTCACTGTAGGGCGCGTGCGCTCGCCAGACAGACAGAGAGAGACATAGAGACAGAAAGCGAGAAATCACCCCCCAGGGGCGATGGTCACGCCGCAATCCCCTCTCCTCCATTCTCCTCTCGGGATCTTGGGCACGCACGCACACGTGCCCGGCGTGAGTTTTAAGCCACCGGGTCCGGGACACGAACCGCGGTCGACTACGTGGGAGTCCAGCGACATAGCCATTACGCTAACTGCTGGTTCCCAACATCTCTGAATTATTGAAGACTGGCCCCTCTTACACACCCTGCCATCAGTGGCAATGACTGTCCCCTCAACAGCACCATGACCACTAGATCATCTGGACTCAGGCTTTGGTCATTCCAGGTAGGTCAGCTCTGGGAGTCTACCTTAAGAGACATTCAGGTCAGTGACTAGTATGAAGGGATTTTAAAAAGTTCATGCAAAAAATAAAATGGAAGTATAAGTTTATTTTGGTCCAAAAAATTTGGTGCATAGTTTTTTATAACATGCTTTTTTTGTTTCAACTTTTTGAAGACCCCTTGTATATCCAAGTCTCCACTTCCTCTGCTTCTCCCCAATTCAAACTCAATAAATTAGTCTGAGGGAGTGATGAAGCCACCAGCCCTCTCAGGGCCTCACAGTATATGCAGAGAAGAGGGGACTGCCATGAGGCCAGAGGGAAGGCTAGCAAGTGCGGGGAAGTGGCGAGCCCTGGCTCTAGAGGAGGCTGCTCAGCTCAACCACTGTCAGCTTCCTACTAACTGTTGTTTTTGCAGGTAACAGAAACCTGCCTAAGCTAGTTGCCTCTAAGCGGAGGCTAGCATCTCCTCTTTCCCGGCCTTAGAAAGCTACAGGGTTGTCTTTGGACCCATTAGACAGGGAAATAACTGGGCCTCAGAAACCCCTGGCTGGAAAAGTTTCTGATGAGAAGACTGCTTTATTTCTCACTTTGCCACATAACTTGTTCTTTCTCTCTGGCTGCTTCCAGCATGGTCTCTTAGTGTGGGTTCTAGCCAGCTGACTTTGATACGCTCAGGTGCATTTTTCTTTGTATTTATCCTAATTGTCTTCTCTGAACCTCCTGGATCCGAGGTTTGTTGCCATTCATTAATTTGGGAAGTTCTTAGTGATTTTATTTACAAATATATCTTCAAATATTTCCTATCTCTTCTCCTGGCAATTTGATTGCATGTGTGTTAGACCACATGACATGGTTCCACACATCTTAGGTGCTTAGTTTTGGGGCTTCTCATTTGTTTCCTTGTTTTCACCCTCTTTTTGTTAGTCTGGTTAACTTCTATTGACTGAGCTCCAAGGTCACTGATTGTTTTTGCTTTTTTTTTTTTTCAATGCCAGAGGGCACATGTGTGTGCATTAGAGGTAAAGGGAGAGAAGAGAGAGGAGAGAGGAGAAAGGAGAGAGGAGAGGAGAGGAGAGGAGAAAGCTCTCAGCAGGTCCTGGTCATGCCACGATTCTTTTTCCTGTAATTCTCCAATCCAGAATCCTGCGCCCTGTGTGTTTTTCAAGATGCCAGGCTCAGGACTTGAATCCTGGCTGGCCATGTAGGGTCAGGCTTCATCTGCACAGTGTCTAACTTCCACAATATGAGGCTGGCCCTTTTATGCTTTGCTTTTGTCTAGTCTGCTGATAAACCTGTCAAAGGAATTATTCCTCTCCCATATTAAGATTTTTCATTTTTAATATTTAATTTTTCAATTTCTATTTTAGAATTTTCTACTCTCTACTCAAATTCCCCATCCATTCATACAAATTGTCTACCTTTCCTTTCTTTCAATTGTCCACCTTTTCTATTAGGCTAGACCCTTTAACATATTATATATAGCTACTCCAAAGTCGGCAGTTGATAGTTGCAACATCTTGAGCACGTGTAACTTCTCTCTCTCTTTTTTTAGATTATTTATTTATCCACTCATTTATTATTTTTTTAAAAATTTGACCAGAGAGAGAGAGAGAGGGAAAGTGAGAAAGCAAGCCACCATGTCCAGGACTCGAACTGTGGTAGGCCATGTGGGAGTGTCCAGTGCCTTAACCACCACGCCACCTGCTGGTCCCCTAGCTTCTCTTTTTGAGAAGGTGACTCTTCTGATTATGAAGTCATGCCCCCCCCCGCCTTTTTTTCTTTTGAATTTTTTCAAGTCAGCCTCCCTCAGTAAATGGGATATATCAGACCATGCATGGCTTTCCTTCCCTGGCTCTGCAGCTGAGTTATTTTCAGAAGTTTTTTGTCTTATTTTCTAACCATCTTGGCTTCACAGTTTGGCCCATCTTGGCCTTCTTTGTCTTCAAGGAGATGAAACTGTTGGCAAAGCAGGAAAAGAATCTGTCAGACGCTCTACTTGCTCATGGAGAACTTGCCAGAGGACTTCCAGACAGTTCTCCATCATCAGAGCAAGATTAGCTACTAAGGGGACCAGCAGTTAGCATAATGGCTATATCACTGGACTCCCATGAAGTCGACTGCAGTTCAAGTCCTGGACCCGGTGGCTTAAACTCACGCCAGGCGTGTGTGCGTACATGCCCAAAATCCCAAGAGGAGAATGAAGGAGAAGGAATTGTGGCATGGCCATCCCCTCAGGGCTTGATTTATTGATTTCTGTCTCTCTATCTCTTTCTGTCTGTCTGGCGAACGCACATGCCCTATAGGAAAAACTTCTCCCCCCCCCCCAAAAAAAAAGATAAGCTACTAAGCACCTTAAACACAACACCAAGAGCTGGGACCAGCAGATGGCATAATGGTTATATTGCTAGACTCCCACATAGTCGACCATGGTTTGAGTCCGTGGGGGCCGTGGTTTGAGTCCCAGTCCATGGGCTGGGCGCATGTGCGTGCGTGCCTAAGATCCCCAGAGGAGAATGGGGGAGAAGGGATTGTGGCAGTACCATCCCCCATGGGTGATTGCTCACTTTCTATCTCTCTGTCTCTCTGGTGAGCACATGCTCCCTATACCAAAAACAACTCTCTTAAACAACAAAACAAAACAAAAAACAAAAAATGCCAAGAGCCAGCTTCAATTGTAAATAAATAAAAACCATACATATAGTGCTTATAAAACATAACATTGTCGGGAACCAGCAGATAGCGTAATGGCTATGTCACTGGGCTCCCACGTATTTGACCGCGGTTCACGTCCCGGACCCGGTGGCTTGGAACTCACGCCGGGCGCATGTGCATGCGTGCCCAAGATCCCGAGGAGAGAATGGAGGAGAGGGGATTGCGGCGTGACCATCCCCTCTGGGGGGTGAATACTCTCTTTCTGTCTCTATGTCTCTCTCTGTATGGCGAGCGCACGCGCCCTATAGCGAAAATCTCTCCAAAAAACAAAAACATAACATTGTCAGTTATATTCATTGTCAAATTTAATATTCAAAATATTCCCATTACATTTACAAAATTTGTTAGATTTCATCTTGTGCATGATGGTTGCTGAGAAATCACATTAAATAGCTTACACATAGCCAGTTCATTTCCAAAGCAGGGCTATAAAAATCCTTTCAAATTATTCAAAGCGATATATTTAATTTGAGGGCTTTTTAATATGTTGAATGTGATTGTGCTGAAGCCTCCAAAAAGGAAAGAGCCTGGTAACCTGGAAGACTGGGAACAGCTCCTCACTGTCACAGCCTGCTCTGTGTGTGACCTGCATAAGGAATGCCTCTCACCCTCCTTCCCCCAGGAGGTGCCCTTGTGCTGCCTTCAGCTGATCAAAGTTCTGCTCCTGACATCACCCACAGAGCCAGCCCTTCTCACATTCTCCTCCTTTCTCTGGAATCACAACATCCAGTCTTAAGCTGGCTGCTGGAGCGAGGCTGGGTACCATTTCCGAGAGAGAGAATCACTGCATTTGGGTTCTCTGAGGACAGGGTCGTTTCCTGTGCCTGGTCCCTAGGCCAGCTGTGGCTGGGCGAGTGAGGAAGGAGAGGGCCACAGGGAGACCGAGTGGGGAATGGAGCGGGAGCACGAGGTAGCTGTGTTCCAGCAGGGTGCTGGTGAGCTGGGTGAACCTGACAGGCTGGCGGAGATGGCCTTCTTAGCCCACACCATCTCGATTTGGAACCTTGTGTCTTCATTTCTCCTGCCTTCATCCTCGCTCTTCAGAGATGCACTCCCTTTTGCCTCCCTCCCACGACACTTGGCTCCGGCTTGTATTTGATGTCTGCATTTGTCCTTTTCTTCTCAGCTTTCATACTAATCACTGGCTTGTCAGTTACTTATTTCCATGACTGATTAAATAAAGAGTTACTGACACCTACTACGTGCCAGGAACTAATTAATCTGGGCTTGTTTGCTCCCAGAGGACAGAAACACACCTGGGGGGAGGGGGGGTGTTCTTTGATTGGTGTGAATGCCTAGGTTTGTTCATGGTCTAGATGGTCACAGACCTGGGCCCAAAAATGAGATGAAGTGTGGGTTTCAGCAATGAGGCAGGAAATTTAAAAATAAACCAAGCTCTATTTTATTTAAAAATGTACAGTTTAGGGACTGAAGAGGAAAGTAATGTTTCTCAAAGTTCTAGGACTATTTAGCAACCCCAGAGTGTCTGTTTAAAAGCACCATCTGGGAACCCGCATTTGAACAAATTACCGTGTGAGTTTGTCACTCTGAAGTTTGAGAATCGCTAGCTAAGGAATGGAGTAGGGACTGAAGCTGGTGCGTTCCTTCTGGCTCTTTAGGGCTCCAGGGAGTGATTCGCTTGACTTTTTGCGAACAAGCTCAGCTGACTTATCTGTGGGGTCCTGGCATTCCTTTCTTTGTTTCGCAGAGGCACTGAAAGAGTTAATGCAGTTAGAGGTGGAAGAGCACCTGAGACAAGGCCTGAAATGTGTGCCTGTCTAGTCTAGCCCACCCAAGAGCTTCGGGAGCGAGGAGTGCAGAGCGGAGCCCTGACTTGACCTGGACACGGAACTGCTTACCACATTTCTGCCCACTCCTGGGGGCTCTGCTGCTCTTGTGACTCTGCCTCTTGTCTTACTTCACAGAATACTTCTTCTTTCCTCCCCCACTCTTCCTTGCTTTTTCCTACCCATCCATGTTTCTTCCTCCCTTCCCTGTCTAGTCTCTTTCCCAGATTCCAAGTCCTAAGCCCTCTTGCCGCCTCCATCCTGCTGGCCGGCTGTGCAAGACTGTGCTCTGTGCATCTCGGTGCCATGTGTGCACTGGGTAGGAATAGCAAAGGGCGGGCAGGACAGTTAGAATCAAGGGTCAGCATCTCCAACTGCAGAAAGTGTCGGGGGTGTGTATGTGGGGGGAGACAGCAGGTGGTGTGGTGGTTAAGGTGCTGGACACACTCCATGGCTGACCATGGTTTGAGTCCTGGACCTGATGGCTTTGTTTTTCTCTCTC